GATTATACATTTCCTGACCCAGCCCCCGAGTGTGCCACAGACACTTTCAATAAAATGCCTGCAACAACTCTGAATTTCCTCTGAGAAACACTTAATTAGAAGATTATTAGCTACAAAAAAGAGTTAAATCTTAAAGTGACGCAATTGTTAGCTTAGGATGATTACTCTGAAAATACCTAGGTCCAAAGGAAATCTGACTAATAAAAGTAACAACCAGAAACTCCAGTTAAACATTTGCTACAGAATAAAGTAAAATCTCTTCAGTTTGGTATTCAAACGCCTCATCACAATCTGCTTCTCTGGCCTCATTTCGTCAACTTTACTACCCTATACTTCTAGCTTAACTCCAGCCAAATTGGTCCAGACATTCTGCCTCCAACCCAGCTCTCCTCCCTCACTCCCCATGCATGGCATTTTCCTTTTCTATTCTACCCTTTTGTTTTATAAAGGAGCTCTGGTGGTGTAGTGGTTAAGGCATCTGGCTGCTAATCAAAAGATCCATAGTTTGAACCCACCAGCCACTCCATGGAAGAAAGATGAGGCAGTCTGCTTCAGTAAAGATTTATAGCCTTGGAAACCCAACAAGGGTAGCTATGAGTCAGAATTATCTTGATGGCAGTGAGTTTGTGGGTTTTGTTTTTGTTTTTGTTTTCCCTTTATAGGCTGTGTCAAGATACCAGCCTGTGTTAACTCCTAGTGTCTGCACCTTAACTCCTCAGTGTGGCCTCTTCCCCTGTGAGCTCCCTTTACTTATTTTTTTGAACTAGCATTTTCCTCCATATAAAGAAGAAATTTGTTCACTGAAGAAAATTACACAAAAACATACAGAAAAGGAAAATCACCCATAATACTACTAACCAAAAAAAAAAACAAAACAAACTCACCGCCGTCGAGTCAGTTCTGACTCATAGTGACCCCACCTTGGATTTCTGAGGCAGTATCTCTATGGAAGTAGATTCTCCAATCTTTCTTCCGAGGAGTGGCTGGTGGGTTTGAACCTCCAGCCTTCTGGTTAGCAGTCAAGGGCCTTAGGCACTAAGCCACCAGAGCTCCTTATAATACCCAGAGTTATTCATTATTAGCATTTTGGTACTTTTTCATCTAGGCATAAATATACATATATGTGTGTGTACACACACACATATACCCATACATACACACAGGAGCCCTGGTGGTGGCTACTAACTGAAAGGTCAGAGGTTCAAATCCACCAGCTACTCCACAGTAGAAAACAGGTGGTAATCGGTTCCTGTAAAGATTGCAGCCTAGGAAACCTTATGGGGCAGTTCAACTCAGTCATATAGGGTTGCTAAGAATCAGAATCAATTCAATACTACAAAATAACAATACATACACGCACACATACATAATAAATACATATGCATATACATTTCCCCCTTGGTATCTGCAGGGGAATGGTTCCAGGAATCCTGTGAATATAAAATCCTTAGATCCTCAAGTCCCTTATATAAAATGCCATTGTATATAACCTACAAGGAGCTCTGATGGTATAGTGGATAAGGCACTTGACTGCTAACCAGAAGGTCAGCAGTTCAAATCCCAGCTGCTCCATGGAAAGAAGGCAGGGCAATCTACTTCCATAAAGATTTACAGCCTTGGAAATCCAATGGGAGTTGCTACGAGTCAGAAATGATTCAATGGCAGTGAGCTTTTTTGTTTTTTTTTTTAAATATATATGACCTATGCACATTCTACTGCATAGTTTAAATCATCTCTAGATTATAATGTCTAATACAATGTAAATGCTATGTAAATGGCACTTTATCTCTCTCTTAGCCTTTGAGTGATTGTTTTGACCATTTAATTGCTTTTTAGGAGGCGTTTTTTCATAGAAATTAAGGAGGCACACAACACAAGTTGCAAATGAACAAGAAAGGCGGTGAACAATGCTCAAAGGGTGAGTGCTGGAGAAAGCCTGAGGATCTGTGAAATAGCAGGAGACTACAGCAGAGCAGAGCAGGGGGTAGGGAGCTCTTGTAGCATAGTGGCTAAGACACTTGCCTGCTAACCAGATGGCTGGCGGTTCAAACCCACCAGCCACTCCTCGGAAGGAAGGTTGGGCAATCCTACTTCCTTAGTGATACTGCCTTGGTTGGCCTCACAGGAATAGGCCTTGGGCTACTGATCGTCATTCTGTCTTCCTCATGGGTGGTTAGAGGAGGTCAGAAGATGTGGCTTCCTTGCCTATATAGCACTATATATAGCTTTGCATTCTAAAACTAGTACATTTTCATGCAATTTTAATTCTTTTTTTATTTGTTGTGTTAAGATTCCACTGAATAAATGAACCTTAATTTATTTAACCATATTCAGGTTAGTTCTGTTTTTGCACTATTGTAAATTACATTTTCCATATACATCTTTTATTGTGTGTCCTTTGATCTGTATAAAATATTAGCAATTCAATAATTAGGATAAAATGTATGAGTATCTTTAAGTGTCTTTATACATACAAAAACATACCTTCTACATATTCATTATCAATTAAATTGTTTTTGATTCTTTACTAAGGACCGAGTATGCTCATTCCACTTTGGGTTTATCTGTACTTGAACTGTCACTTCTGTGAGTTTGCTAGATCCTTGAAAGAAAGGAGAGTGAGCCCTAATTTTCTAACTCCCCATGTCCCACAGAACACACACTCTTCAGAACCACCTTGCAACAAGGACAACTCACCTGAGGATGAGGACGCAGGCTGCAACCAGGGAGTAAGCCAGAAGAGTGCCAATGGACATCATGTCCACAAGTGCCTTCAGGTCAAACAGAAATGCCATCACAGCTATTGGGAACAGAAAAGAAAGGTGAAGAAAAAGGCCCGTGATAAAATTCCATATAGTAAATAACTTTTAAGTTAGGAACAAATGACTGACACTTTTTGTTTTAGCACCAATGAAGCATCAAACAAAGTATAGAAAACATACTTCTGACATTAAAATATTCTTTAAGTCATATAAACTGCTAATAAAACTACAAAAACCCTCAACTTTCTATCAAGTACAAAACACACCTACTTTCATCACTTAAAAAATATGTGGCCTAACAAAGAATGAAAATATCATAGGACAGCTCACCACATTTTGATGGTTCAGAAAAAACATTGCTACGAAATGTCGGGCAGCTTTTGTTAAAACTATAAAAAATTCAAGCAGAAGAGTTTTCAAAGAGATAATATATGATCTTCTTAATTTCCATGTACATTTTGAGTTACAGCACGTGCAAAATAAAATAATTTTCAATTACATTATGTTTATGATATATGCTAAATCCTATTCGTATTATATCTATACACTCTGGGCAGACCCAAAAATGTTAAAAGGCAAAATATTATTTACATATTGGTATAGTTAACTCATATTTGGAAATTTTTTCTGTACTGAAACAGAGAAAATATTAATTTGAATTTAACACACATTTGTCCTCATGGCAGTAAATACATGACACCATATTACATTAATATGGTGTTTCAGACTGCTCAGCAAGCTTTACATGTCTACAATCTCATTTTATCTTCAACTCGAGAAGTCCATGAGATGGGGAATTATTTAGGTTCAGCCTATGAAATGGCTGGTATTTAACTGTCTGTAACCAAACTCCCCAGCAATTTCACATGGTTAGACCTGATAAGATTATCATTCTCATTTTATAGATAGGCTTAGTTAACAAGGTCACTAGGTAGAGACAGAGTTTCACATAAAACATCTCTGACCTCCTTGTACACTATCGTATTGTTTCTTGAAATATATCACATACCTCACCTTGCAAGTTTTTCATTGCTAGTATACATGTACATTAGATTAATAAAACTCTCAATATAATTTGTGAGAATCACAGAAAGCCAAAATATGGGAGCCCAAATACAGGAAATGATTATTATCTACACAAGCTCTCTGATTTAAGTTAAAAACAAGCAAAGTAAGGTGTGAGGGTACTAAATAACAAAAATTTATATTTGGGGGCATTTTATAAAAAGTTTTTTATTACAACTGTCTTATTTTAATTATTAAATTAAATATATTACTTACTATGTTGCAAAATTAAATGAAGATACATTTTGTAAAAATTCTGAATAAAAATAGAGCATTACTGGACAAGTTTGTTATTAGAAAAAAACAGAGCCTTTATGAAGCAAATAAAATGTTTCATCTTTTGTTTAGAAACATTCATAAACTATTTTCAATATCATAAAGTACTGTTTTATAGTAAGTCATCTAGTGTAACCTTCCTTTCATGGGGATGGAAATCTAAGCCCTGAGAAAACAAGAAAATGAACAACTTGCCCTTCCAACTATACAGTACCAAATTTATTAGAAAACTTTTATAAAATTAGACTGTTTAGGCAAATATTTTCTGATCCTGAAAAAAAATTTAACTTCATACATAAATATTAGCATTCTCCAATCTAGTTTCCCAACAAGTCAGAGCCCTAGCCAAAATTATCATTTCGGTATCAATTTCTACTACGAAGATCATTTTATCTATAATGTTTGCTGAAGTGTTTCTCTTCCTTCCTATAACAGTCCCTTTAAGGCCATTCTCTCCATCCTTAGAATCTCTTTGAAAATTTTCGGCACAGAATAAGAATATGGTCAAAGGCACTTCACATATATATTACGAGATAGATATCTGAATTTTCTGAACATAAGTATTAAAAGAGTTGAAAGAGAAAATAGACTCATAATGAGGTTTGAAAGGACATGTGTGTTATTAACTCTTAGAGAATTTTGATGGCCCAGGAAGTGAGGAGGACCATTTCTGAGTGCAGTAATTACAATGACCAAGTATGTATTGTCTTTGGCATTTCTTATACTTAATTAAGAATGGACAAAGTTGAGGGTTCTTGTTTTGTCTTTAAAGTTGAGTTCTTAAGAAATTGTATGGCCCTTTATAGCAATATTTTACTTTATCCTGAACAAAAAAGAAAACATTGAATCATTATTTTAAATTAACATTTCAAAAATTAATTATTCATTAATTAAGATTATACATGTCAAGAATATAATTTTATGTGCTAGTTCATCAATTAGTAAAGAATTTGATACCAGGTATGTAATGAAGAACCATTACAACCCTTTACACATTTGTTAGAACCCCAAGAGGTTAAAGTAATGAAATGGTAAAACACCCCAAAGGGTGAGTTGAGAATGAATTTCAGTAAACCACCAGCACCACAATTTTCAGTTGTCATCCCAGTGCTCATCCCCTAATTCATCAGTGATTTTCTTCTTAACTTACATGCACAGCAAGCAGGCCCTCTTATAAGTCCATGCATGAGCACAAAATGTTCAAGTCCAATGCTGAACAAGCCTATGTTTGAAAAGCTTACCAGAAATGAACCCTGCTGTCAACGTGGCAGCAACTGGTGACTGCCTCTTACTCACTCTGGCAAGAAATCTAAACAGTAAACCATCTCGTGCCATGGCAAACAGAATTCGGGGTAAAGGGAACATAGAGCCCAGAAGACTAGAACAGAAAAATTCATAATCCACATGTGAGATATTATTAGTATTTTAAAAAGGCATCTACAGGTAAAGACTGGACACACCAAAGTGCAGAACCTATGCCAAAAAAAAAAATTCAAAACAGAAAACAGTCACAAAAAAGTTACTGACTTTCATGTAAATCACAAGTGAAAAACACCTAACTTTCTATTTTTTTCAGAGTCCTTGATGGAAAAGATCTCTCTTTTCTTATAAGAGTCAACTGTCTCTCACCTGCCACTGCACCGGATGATAAAGTAGCAATTACTGGTGTCTTCGTTTTGGGATTGATTTGAGCTAGACATTTGAAAAGCAACCCATCCTCCGCCATAGCATAGATTACACGAGGCATTGGGAAAATCGATCCAAGAAGACTAAATAAAAAGCAAACACATGCAATATGGCAAACACATTCATGCAAGATTATATCCCAGAATTGAAATAAAATAATTGTATAAAACTCAGCACAATAGCTGTAATTATGAAATTATTGTTAAAAAATGCATTTTGATTGGGCATTTAATATATTTGCTAATATCTTTTTATGCTATGCTACGTATTATTCTTTTGCAGATATTTGTCCAGCAAAATAATAAATTAAAAACAATATTGTAATTAATCTGTACATGTCCATGATTTAACAGAATTAGAATTAATTAAAATTTTACAAAAACACCCAAAACCAAATATGTCATTGAGACATATTTATCAGCAATATCTCAGAAAATATAATTCTAAAATTGATAATTAGAGATTAAGTAATTTATTTCAAAGCATAGCCACCTAATTTATTCAATAATTATATATTTTATGTATTTATTTTACCATTTTTTTTTCATATAACCTGATTATTGATCAAATTAATAGTAATTGCCAACATCATAAGATAATCAACAAGGAGAAAGGTAATAAAACAAAAAGTAGACTATTGTAAATTTAGTATTTAGAGGTGCCCATGATTAAAAGCTAGTAACAGTGAAGTTTAGGAAAATGATTTTTGCTTAAGATATTTTGAATTACTTGTGTGGTTAGTGTTG